GAGCAGAGCGCTGGCTCCCGCCGCCCGGGAGCGTGGGTCTCGAGCCCGCTTACAAGAAAGAAGGCCCCTTATTCTTTTCGTGCCACACTCCCTGCTTCCCTTACTCCTTTCTTTCCTTCATCGACAACAGCCCTGACACTCGTTGGCAGCCAGGCCCTGGCCTGGGCACTGGGGCCAGAGAGGACCCACCACATCCTCAGGGGCTCGCAGGGCCGTCGTCAGTGTGGGGACAAGAGGGAGGGCATGCCCATGCGCTGGTGCCCGGGGGCGGCCCGAGGCGACACCTGTGCTGGCCATGAGGGCTGGCCAGTGTAGAAGCGTGATGGGCTGTGATCGGGCCTGAGGGTCCACACAGACTCCAGAGGCATGCTGGGGAAGGAGGCCCGAGGGCGAGGCCAGGGCCCGTGCAGGGGGCCTGCCACTTCCTGGGCGCATCACCGGCCGGGACAGGATCCAGAGAACGCTCGGCCCACGGCCCACCTCCGCCACTTCCAGCTTGTAGCCCTGAGCTGGTCCCTGGGTTTCTCTGAGCCTCGCTTCCCCTCCGTGGAAATGAAGGGTTGTTGCGAGGACACGGCCACACTGTGTGTGTGCAGGGCTCCGCTCACCTCTGCTGTGAGGAGAGGCTCAGGGGCCTGCCGTCGGCGGGTGGCCTGCCTGGGTTTCCCGGAGAGTGGCAGTGGGTCAGGGCTGGGGTGGGGTGCCTGGCGCTGATGGCAGGCTCCCCTGGCGCTTCCCTAGGGAAAATGTCACCTACTCCGTGCGGGTGGGGAGCCCCTGGATTGACCAGAAGGCTCAGACTACGGCCGACGTCCGGGTGCACCAGGTCATCCTGAACAGCCAGTTCCGGGCCCATCGCTATTGGTCCTGGGTGGGCCAGGCCAACAACATTGCCCTGCTGCAGCTCGAGAGAACGCTCACCTACAGCAAGTACGTCTGGCCCATCTGCCTGCCCGGCCTGGACTACAGGGTGAAGGACTTCTCCCTCTGCACCGTGACAGGCTGGGGGCTCCCCAGGGCGAACGGTGAGTCGCACCTGCAGACCAGGGCGGGGTGTGGGAGAGGGCCTGGCACAGCTGGGTCTGAGACATCATCCCGGGAGCCCCCTGCTCCCACCTTCCTGTCGGGCTTTTTTAAATTTTATGTTTTTATTGATTTCAGAAAGGAAAGGAGAGGGAAAGAGAGAGAGAAACATCAATGACGAGAGAGAATCATTAATCGGCTGCCCCCTGCACGCCCCCCACTGGGGAATGAGCCTGCAACCTGGGCAAGTGCCTGACCGGGACTCGAACCCTTTTCTCCTGGTTCATAGATTGATGCTCAACCACTGAGCCACGCCGGCTGGGCCCTGTTGGGCTCTTCTATCCAAGGTGGTCGAGGGTTTTGGCAGTGAGCACGCCGCGGCCTCAGGCCGTGGGGGCAGAGATGCCCGTGAGCACTCAGCCAGGCCAGGCATGTGGACAGGGCTTCCCGAGGCAGGAGCACGCAGAGTAGGCTCTGCTGTTTGCACAGTTCCAGGGGGGCCGTGCCTTGAAGCAGAACGTCGAGGTGAGAGGAGCAGGCTAGGATCCTACAGGGCTGGCCAAGGCACCACAGTCTGGGAGTCACTCGGGGCCCCCAGGGTCCTCACCCCATGTCATCCCAATTTGGGAGCAAGGCCCGGAGCGGAGTGCTGTCCCGGCCCTTCAAGGGTCCATTTCCTTACAAGCCCAGGAATGCCCTCTCCCTGCAGGCACCTTAGCCTTTCCCACTGGAGGTGCCTCCCCGGAGGGAGCCTCCGAGAGCAGCTTGTCTGAAATGGCCACAGGGCTCCAGCCCAGGGGAGGGGCTGGTTTTCTTGTCTTCCCTGCCCCAGCTGTCAATGGCTGGGGATGATCAGAAGTCCCTGTCTCAGGCTATGGACTGACAGGCGGAGGGGAGGGAGGGAGCTGTGCTGGGGACTGGGGGAGGGGCGTTGGGCAAGCTCAGGGAGGAGCCTCTGAGGAGGCCTTGGGGTAGAAGGGAGGGCAGAAGCCAAGCTGCTGACGTAGGAACGGACTCAGTGGATGGTAAACTGGTTTACTCTGCGGAAGGTAAACCAGGTGCAGTGAGGCCAGACTGGGAGCCCTGCCCGGGGTCCCTCTCAAGGGGTGCTGGGGGAGGGGGGCTGGGATGGCAGGCGGGCTGAGCCTGGAGATCCCCCCTCCCTGGCTGCTGTGTGGCCAGCGGAAAAGGCTGGAGGCGTGGCGAGGAGCCGAGCGGGTGGGGGACAAGGCAGGTGGCAGCCCCCCGCCCCCCGAATGGGGGCCTGTCCACAGGCACGTGGCCGCAGTTCCGGACCATCCGGGAGAAGGAGGTCACGATCATGAACAGCAAGCAGTGTGAGGACTTCTACCACCGATTCTCCAAAATCCCCTCCCTGGTTCGGGTCATCAACTCCCAGATGATCTGTGTGCAGGACACCGACAGGAAGCACTTCTGCTATGTGAGCGCCTGCCCCTGCCCTCCAGGCCCTGGGCCAGGACGAGAGGGGGGAGGGAGAGGAGGGAAGTGGGGAGGGAATGAGCAGGGGCGATGGAGCAGGAAGATGGGGAAGAGAGATGGGATGGAGGAGAGAGATGAGGTCAGGTGGGAGAGTGGGGGGTGGGAAGACGGAGGGTGGGTTAAAGGGAGCGGGGGATGGAGGACTGACCCCGGAGAGCAGGGAGATGCACCCTCTGTGGGAGGCCTCCTGGGTCCTGCTCAGCCGGTGACACTCAGGGGTGTGGGGAGATCTGTGTGAAGCACCCTGCTCGTCCCTGAGCTGGGTCCCCTCTCCTTCGGGCCACATCTGGCCTTCCTGACCCTCTGTCCTCCCACCTCCCACAGGAGACCAGTGGGGAGCCCCTGTCCTGTCCTGTGCAGGACACGTGGTTCCTGGTGGGGATAGTGAGCTGGGGCCCCGGCTGCGGCCAGAACGAGGCCCCGCCCATCTACCTGCGCATCTCCACCTACCAACACTGGATCTGGAAGCGCATCAACGGGCAGCCTCTGCCAGCCCCGTCCAGGGCCCTGCTCCTGGCACTGTCGCTGCCCCTCAGCCTCCTTGCTGCCTGCTGATGCTCCCAGGCCATCTCTGGGGGCGCCCTCTGGCCCCAGGCCCCCTCATCGTCCTGGTCCAGGACACTACAGGTCCACTCTCCTGTCCCATCCGGCAGGGCCGAGACAGGCGCTCAATTAAACAGTTTTCTTCCTCACGCAGCCTCCTTCCTGGTCCTGGAGGCCCTTGCTCTCTGGGCTGCTCGGGTGGGAGACGGCTGAACAAGATGGGGTGGGGTGGGGGCTCAGGCACCGAAAGGGCAGAGCCCAGGACCGGCCTCCATCCAGAGGGAGGGTGGCTCCTGCAGAAGGTGGGGGAGTGTGTGTAAGGATGACATCAGGGTCAGGCGATGGAGGGCCTGGAATGCCCTGCCCAGGCCGAAGCTGGCGCTGCTGGACTGCGTGAGGCTGGGAGGGCCAGCTGTTGGGCCCGGAGTTGAAGGTATTCGTTCTGTTAATTTAATTGGAGTCGGGCTCTTCTTGACCTTAGCCCGGCTCCTGGCCGTGGCTAGAACACACCCAGCACTGGGCTCAGACCCTCGAAGGCCTGTTGAAACCAAAGCTGCCCTTTGCTCTTGGTCACCTGACTTCCTCCAGCTCACCCTAATCGGGCTTGGAGAAGGTCAGCCGGCCTCTGCCGCTGTCACCTTCACTCCAGATCGGTCGGGGATGGGGGGCGCTCTGCTTTATTTACTAATCTCTGCAGGCCCCCTGGCCCGGAAACCTCTGGAATCTCCTTAGTCCCCAGGCCCCTCCGCATCCCTCATCCCGAGGGCCTTCTCATCGGCAGTGCTTTGGGGCCCTGTTGTTGAGGGTGGGAGAAGAGGCGGCCTGAACCCCCAGCTGTCCCCTCAGTGATCCCCTGGGGCCCTGACACCTCCCCCACAGCAGCGCAGCCCAAGGGCCCGCTGACTTCTCAGATATTCCCTGGATTCCTAGAGGGGCCCAGGTAGCAGCCTTCTTCCCTCCTCCCCGGCCCCCGGCTTCAGCCTCCTGCACCCGTGACCGCTGCAGCCCAGCCCTGAGCCGGGCCTCGTGCTGACCCCCAGCATCCTCTGCTCCATCACTGAGCGTGAACCAAGTGCATCCTGTTGCCAGGGGCTTAGTCTGCTGGGCTGGGGGTTCTCCTGCTTCTGGCCACCTGCTCACCTCGCTGGACCAGAGCCCCTGCTAGGTTTGGGCTGACCCCTCGCCCCAGGATTGCTGTCCGGCAAGGCCTGAGAACTGCCTGCTGCCACAGCTCCCGGTTGATCGTCCGGTTCACATCGGTTCACGTGCCTTTCCGGAGTGATCCCACAGCGTATCACTCCTTTAGCACCACTGGGGCCAAAGGGGTGAGACAGGCGTGTCTGGAGGTGTGAGGCTGCTCTGGACCTGCAGAGGGACAGTGGCCCCAGACCCGCTTTGTTGAGCGGCCACGTGGACATGGTAAAAGGAGCAGAGTCCAGGCTGGGAGGCAGGACACCTGCGGTCTGGTCCCAGCCCCTGATTGGCTCATGAAGGAGCGTGGAGTCCAGGATGCCTGGGCCCCAGCCAGGACTTGAGCCCCAGCTGCCACCGCCAGGAAGCTGTCCTCGTGTCTCTCCTCACTTCTTGGCTTCATTCTTCTCATCCTCCTCTACCTTGATAGCCACCGTGTCCACACTGTCCTTTTTCTTCTTCTTCTTCTTGTCATCTGTGGGGTAAAGGGGCGTGCGGCCGGCGTGAGACAGCACCCTAAGGCTCACCCACAGCCTCCACACCCAGCCCTTCACTGCCTTCTTCCCTCCACACCTCTCCCACCTGCACAATACCTCTTGGTTCCACCCGCCTCACTCTGACCAGTTTCTGGTGTCTGGTTGCCCAGGGATGGAGCTGGGACCTTCTCCCTTGAACCTCCTGGGGGGCAGGCCTGAGGCACGGGCTGGCTCCGCAGGGCCACTCACCTCCGGGCACCTCTGTGAGCTCGTTGAGGGGCGGCACTGTCTCCAGCTTGTCGGTGTACATCTTGGCCGCCTTCCGCTGCAGGTACCGGGCTTCGATCTCCTTCCGAGTCCGTGGCACACGGCAGTTGAAAACACAGCACAGAGTGATAACTGGAGGGAGGACAGAGAGAGTCATCCTGCTGGGCATCGAGCCCACAACCCAGACACGTGCCCTTGACCAGAATCGAACCAGGGACCCTTCAGTCCGAAGGCCGACGCTCTATGCACTGAGCCAAACAGGCCAGGGCGAGGCTCGCATTGACAAAACCCCGCAGGCCCTGGGATTCTGAAGGGCTCTGTTGACCGGGGCTGGCCACGTGCGTCAGGCACCCGAGAAGGGCCTGGTGCTTGGGCTAGCGCTCTGCTCTCACTGTCGGGAAATTCTTAACGCCTTTTGAACCAGGGGCCTCATATGTCCATCTGGCACCTGCCCTGTCCAGGGTCCTGGTCCGAGGTCCTCCTGCACAGACTGAGAGTCCCCGGAGGGCAGGGCACATGGCTGCCCCACGACGCAGGCCACGGCTTCCGGGAGGTGCCCTGTGCCTCCACCCAGGCCCCTGGGCTCCGTGTGTCGGGTCAGCGCGTCCTGGGCACTGGAGGATGCAGCTGCACCTCCTCCCCCCTGAGGACTGGCCTGCGCCTCTCCTGGCTGTGAGCCGCCAGGGCCCAGCCCTGCCCCGGGCGTTCACCTCAGACCGAGTTATTCCGGGAGCGGGTTTCCTGCGGGGGCGGTGGCACCTGGGCACCGTGGCCAGGGCACGGCGCTGGCCTGCCGGGCGATGGGACCTGGCTGAACTGAGTTTATTTTTCTGAGGCCCCCACAGTCTGACCACCTTGGGCCCAGCCTCAGGGGAGGGATGGGGCTGCTTCCTATTATAAATCGATGACCAGACATGACCTCTTGGCAGACTCCTGGGGACAGGCGGGCGGGCAGGACAAGCGGGCGTATTTGGGGAAGATGGATCCGACCGACGTGGCCGGGGCAGGAGCACCTTCTGGAGGTGCCCTGTGCAACTTCGGCCAAATATCATGGCCCATTGAGTCTCACCCGATCGCAGAGGAAAGGAAAGAATGAATGAATGAATGAATGATAGTCTCAAGGCCTTTGCTGCGGAGGACAAGACTGGCTCCTGAATGAATGGATGGGGGCGGGGTGGGGGCTGCAGGAGGGGCCCCAGTGGGCCGGAGTGGCCTCTGCTGTGGGGTAGGCTGAGCAGACAGAGGCCGTTGTGACCCAGAGAGCTGGGTCCTGGTCTTCTCCAGACCCCTGTGTGTGCCCGGCGCCCAAGGTCGGTCCCTCGCCCCAACCCTCCTGGCTTGTGCCGCGTCTTCCAGCCACCCAGGCCCTCCTCCGGACCAGGCCCGCTCGGGCTGTCCACGTTGGCTCCAGCCTCGGGGAGGGAGGGAGCTGCTTCCGGACCGGGAGGCTGGGCTTCAGGGGGAGCACAAAGGGCAGCCAGTGGAGGCCAGGGCAGGGCTCAGACACTGCCCCTCGCTCCAGGCCGGGCCTGGCTGCTTCTCTTCAAGGGAGGAGAGAAACAAAGGACCTTCGATTGAGTTCCAGGGCCCAGGCCGGAGGAGACCCCTCCCAGAGGCACCCCATCCAATCCCAGTCCCTCTTCACAGGGACTGGGGGTGATGCCCCAGCAACAGCTGCACCTCCCAGGTTCACGCAGGGGGAGCAGGAGGCTGTTCCCTCCTCAGGACTCGGGCCACCCCTGCTCTCGAGCCTGGAGGAGCCGTGCTGCCCTGCTGCTCGGGCCTGTGGGCCGTCCTCACCCTTTTCTAGGAGGTGGTGTGAGGAGCCCGAGTCGGTCTGCGTGGCTGATGTCCAGGTGCCTCTGGGCCCGGCACCGCGACTTTCTTGTGAGGCCACAGGCACCTCTACCACGTGGGGCCGAGCAGAGCCCGGGAGAGGCCACTGTGTGCCCCAGAGCTGCCCCTGGGTCCTCCTGTGGCCCCTGCAGGACAGAGGCCCCCACCCCCCCTGGCAGGGTGGGGCCTGTTCCCCTCCGTGGACCCCCGTCTGTCTGCGGGGCCTGTACCCAGAAGCCGGCCTGGTTCCCAGCCTCCGCTAGGAACGCACACAGCCTCTTGCTCAGATCCTGGCCCCACCCAGGCTGTGAAGAAGCGGTGGGTGGGGGCCATTTTCCCACAGGGAGGGCACTTCTGGTGCCAGGAGAAGCACATGCGAGTCAGATGTCCTCGTCCCCTTGGAGCCCCACGTCTGGGTGTGTCTTATGCTGTCAGCAGGCGCTGCCTCAGGGGACCTCGTCCCGGGACAGCTCCCTTAGAACCCGCATGCCGCCCGCCGCACCCGACCCAGGCGCTCGGGGAAAGGTCCGGAGGGTTGTCCGAGACCTCCGCCCACACCACCCCTCCCCGAGGGCCTCCACGTGCCCCCCATGCCCTTTGGCCTGTAGGAACCTCCCTCAGGCTCTGCCATGGCGGCCTCCTCCACCAGCTGGCATTTCTCTGCCCCTCCCCCAACTCCAGACTAGACCCCCCACAAGGAGCATGTCCAGCCCATTTCTATTTCGACTTTGTGTCAAGCAAACCACCCCCCCACCCAGGAAGGGGTCTCCTGCTTTTAATTGAGATGGGTGTGAGGCATGCGGGGCCAGGGAATTTGACAAGCAGGGTTTGCAGCCTGGGAGACACATCTGCTGGGCATCTGGGCCACGCGGGGGTGGCCTTGCTGGGGCCCTGGGTGTGGGCCCTTTAAGTTGGCTGAACCGCAGGAAAAGCATCAGGAGGCCCGAAAGGGAAAGATGACACGTCCCGTCCTGGATCCCGGAGCCCCTGTAATCACCCTAATTGCCATGTGGCTGCTTCCCCGTTTGGTCGGGCGGGATGCTGCAGGTCACCACCGCCTGTCCGCCCTCCGCAGGGACTTTGTGTGGACCGCGGAGGTGCCAGGAACCACAGCAGGCCTCCCACGGGCGCCTGGCCTGCCTGCGTTGCTCGGAATTGCTGCTCCGAGCCCCCGGGTGGTGCCCCCACCCCTGTGCTGGGCGGGCAGAGGGCAGGGGCGGCTACTCACTGATGGACAGCACGAAGAGGGAGAAGATGCCCACCACGTGCCACAGGCGCATGTCCCAGAACACCACGGTCTCCTTGGTCAGCGGCGGCGGCTTGGGCTTGGGCGGGGCCGTGCTGGGCTGCGGATGGGAGAGAGGGGAGTGAGCCAGGCAGAGCCCGGGCGGGGACTGGGCTGAGAGAAGCCCGGTCTCAGCAAGGACTTAGCCCCAGCACCCCAGGATGATCGCCTGGAATCAATTGTCTTGGACATTCACGGCCATTGCCCAAACCAGTGGTTCTCAACCTTCTTCGTCCCATGGCACATACACTGATTACTAAAGTCCCGCGGCAACCGAGAAATATGATTTTGCTGATCTGACCAAAAAAACAGGTATAATTTTGATTCATTCACACTGGACGGCTGTCGTTGTGTGGGCTGCTGTCACTGTTTTATTTGACAATCTCAGGCAGGGGTGGGGAACCGTTTTTCTGCCAAGGGCCATTTGGATATTTAAAACCTCATTCGCGGGCCGTACAAAATCATCGACTTAAAATTAGCTGTATTTGGCCAAACATTTAATTAACTCACCCCTGATGCCTTGGCAGAGCCAGACCAAGTGATCGCTCGCCTGTGGGCTGGACGTTCCCCACCCCGATCTAAGGGGAAAGAGGGCAGTGCCCCTGACTAAACACGAGTGTTGCATGTTTTAAAAATCCTTGCGGCTCACCGTTAGCTGCCCTAGACCTTGGGAAGTTCCCGATTTAGCACAAGAGAGCAGAGTCCCAGAACCACGGAGCCGGGACTTGGAGTGCCAGGGTGGTCGGCGCTCGGGGAAACCAAGGCCCACAGGGCAAAATGGGACAGCCCGTCCCCATCTGGTTCAAGGCCCCTCGGAGAGCCTGTGGGTCTCTCCTCCTCCTCCAGTCCTGGGCCCCCACAGGCAGACGGGGACTCAGGACCAAGGCCAGAGAAAAGGCGAGGACTGTACTACCTTGGGGACTTCGCTATCCTGTGCTGTCTCCACCCCCCCCCCCCCCCCCGCCAGTGTGGGGTAGGGTGTGGAGCCCGTGACTGCGCTGGGCCAGGACCCCACCGGCCTTGCAGTCACCTCGCCCTCCAGAATCACTTCCAGTGACCAGGGCTAGGACCAGGCCTTTCAGGACAGGACCCGAGAGATCATTTGTCCACAGTACGGCAGCGACACCTGGGGGCCGAACCATGTAAGTCCGGTGGGAGCAAGTCAGCCAAGCAGAGCAGAGCCAGCTGCCTCCCACCTTCCCAGCGGGCCCCGCACTCCCTGGGGGCTTGAGGGGAGCATGGCCCTTTCCTGGGGGTGTAGGGGACATGGCCCTGCCTTGGAGGACTGAATGGACACTGAGGGGACATGGCCCTGCCCTGGGGTTCTAAGGGTACATGGCCTTGCTCTGGGGTCTGGGTGGGCCAGGCCGGCTCTGGGAGGGTCTGAGCAAGACCTGTCCCTGATCTGCGGGGCTGACAGGGATATGACCGCTGTCCCCACGCTTGGCTGAGGGTGTGGATGGGAGTTAGTGCTTAGGAGGGAGGACCCTGGGCCATCTGTGCACCATGTCGTCCTCCGATGAACCAAACAAGGACAGGCCTGAGGAGTCCCTGGCTGTCTGGGAGGAAAGGCAGCCCGCAGGCCACCGTCCATCAGCCTTTCCCTCGGCTGTAAGCAGGGATTGGGTCCTCCCACGAGCCAGGCACTTCCTCCTCCTCCTCCTCCTCCTCCTCCTCCTCCACTGAGCACCTTCAGCAGCCTGTCCCGGGAAGCCAGAGGGTCTTTGTGAGGGATTCGTACCCGATTCACTGGCTCTTTTCTCATAACCAGGGTGAACTGGGGTAGGTACCACATATCTGTGGGGTCAGGGTACCTGTGGGGGGTGGGGCACACATGGGGCTGAGCACACATATGTGGGTACAGGGCACACATGTGGTTGGAGTACATGTGGGCAGTGTCAGGGCCAGGGCTGGGCAGTGGCAGGTCTTGGGTGGAGGGTGACAGGAGCAATCTGCTGTCTCCTGTGGTGGGCACTGCTGGGGGTCTGAACTCGAGCGTGGAGGCTCCACCTCCATCCGAGCCTCACAGCCTGTCCTGGTGAGGCTGTAGGGCTGGGGTGGGTGGTGCCATGGGCCCTGGCCCTGCCCATCTCTCTGGTGCTTCCCTGGATCCCCCAGGCTCAGCCAGGCCCTTGCATAGTCTGTAGACAGATGGCAGGTAGATGGACTCCAAATGCAATTTCCCTTAATGAGCTGGGAGGAGACGTGCTCCCAGGGGCCAGGGAGGAGTCCTTGGCCCAGAGCTGATTCGCCCTGCACTGTCCACCCCCCACCCCCACCCCCCGCCTCTCTGGTACCCAGGCCAGCTCAGTTTCTGCATCTGAGGCCTCAGGGCAGCCAGTGATGTGCCCAAGCCACAGCTAAGCCAGCCTGGCTCCCCTTACAGGGACACCGGAGCTGACACCTAACTCCAGCCCAGCCCTCTGACCACACCCCCTGGTCAGCAGCAGGGACGGCTAGCATTGGGCGGCAAGGCTCTGTCCCCACCCATGTCCCCCAGACCCTTCACATCAGGGCTGTGCCCTCTGACCCCAGGACAAGGTTCTGCCCTCCTTCTCCCACCCCGTCCCCTAGCACCTGCCACTCCAGGGCTTCCTGGGAGCTTCCCTGCTTTCTCTACACTCCGCTCGCTGGCCCTGCTTCCTGACCTCATGCTCCAGAATTCTGGGTCTGGTCTGCCTCTTTGGCACCCCTTCCAGGCTCACAGCAATGGGCACAGAGGGGCTGGGAGGCTGCAGATGGCCCCCACCCTGCCCCGCCCCGCTCAGCCCAGC